GTAGGAATGATCGACTCATGGTCCTGACAAAGTGTTGTTATTTTTCAGGTCAATCAGAAATCCAATATGGCCACCACAGTCGCTATTTTGTAAATACCTATTCTAAACTTAAAAACAATTAATAATAGGCCGATCTTATTTAAAATCGGTCTAGGAATGATCAGCTCATGGTCCTGACAAAGTTAAGTTAACATTATACTTAACTATTTTTTACTTAAATTGGTACATATTTCAACAACAAAAATAAATACTGTAGGACTCAGGTGACCGTTAAGGCCCATGGGCCTCTTGTTTTGTTTTGTTTTCCCAACTCCCTTCATGCCTCTACTCACAACATCCTGTATCAGTTTTATAAATGTCACTTAAATGTTTTTATTGAAGGTCAATTTAACAGGACAACTCCGGATAGGGGAGGTAACTCAGATACCAACTTCAATTTTATCCTTTGTTCCTATAGCTTGTGAGAGTTTCTAGTTTCTAATCTCAGCTTTGGGGTGAATTGGTTATGACTGATATACTATTACTCCTGGTAGAATGATGTCTGTATATAGTTAGCCTATCATGTATTGATTCATGTCACTTTATGCTGTGCTAGCATTTCAACTTCGGCTCATTTCAGTATCTCCCTGCAAAGCTTGGCCTCAAAACTCACCTGTCATCGTATACTTGCAAGATTTAGGATCTAGATTTCATTGCACTATTGTAGCTTATGCACACTATCGTTTGGCAGAATTGTTCAATGTTAGATTAAATCTATATAAATAAACATGTCACATAATTAAATATGTCACATGTTACTGATGTCTGTAATCTATTTCCATAATGAGTCCTTACAAATATCATTGTTGTGTCACCTCTGTGTTATACATGTTTAAAGTGTAGTGCCTTATTTCTGATTTTATATAAAATTTGTGTTGAATTTTCCAATTATCATTTTACATTATTTTGTACAGTTTATTAAGATTGTATGTTGACTGATTTCGTTCTGTTTTTGGTGCTGGTTTACTTGGCCTTTATCCTTTATGCTGGTTTGATATATTTACCAGGGGTATGGCCTGGCCCCGGTTTCATCAAAGTTCCTTAACTTAAAATCGCTTAGGAATTCCTTAGCTAAGGTTTTCCGAAAAATGCGTTTCATGAACGTTCCTGAACTTAACTAAGGAGCTCCTTCAAGTTAAGGAACGTTGATGAAACAGGGGCCTGTTTGTGTATATATCCTGGTGGTATGGTTACAGATGTGAGATTTCAGAGGGAGGGGAGACAACCTGGATATCAGTGGTACAGGTATCTGACAAACTTATATTCCTGTTTTCTACACATTTCAGATGAAACCAAATTGGATGCTCCTCTACCTTCCATTGGAATCATTATCGGATCTATCGTGGCAGTTTTCCTGTGTATGGCTATAGCGGCAATAATGATATATCTGCTGGTGAAGAGGTAAGCTTTCAACATAGCATTAGGGTGTTGAAACAATCTTCATATCAAGAGGTGAACAGTGTTTTTTTTTTAAATAAACAAAGCATTTTACTACTAAAAGACTAAATAATGATTTATATTTTTTTGTAAGCAGGACTGGAAATTGAGGTAATAGGTAGAGAGCAGAGACTGTTCTCCAATTTCGACGGTAACTTAATTAGAGTGGTTGCCGTGACAACAGCAGACAAAAGAACCAATGGGACTATTCATTATTGATTGGTTCTTTTACAAAAGTTCATAATTGATTCCTGAGAAGTTAACTGAGGTGGAAAATCTTGGAGTCTGGTCCATTCTGCGCTTTTTTGTTCAGAAAAATGTAATATGTTGAGTGTCGAGGAGGTAGGGAGTCTGTACACAGGGCAATGCTCTGATTGGAAGGATCGGCGAATGTTCATGACCAGCCTAGGTGTAGCACTGTAATGTGTCCATACAAAATGACTAGTATCAAAGTGAAATAAAATGATTTCCTCCAAGTGAAATGCAGATAACTTTCATTTTATTTAAGGCAATATATTTTGGTTAAAGAAATTTTGTACGAAATCCTTTTTTGTATTTTTCAGAAATCAAAACCAGTGTAATGAGACGAAAGGTGGAGAGTGTGATACACTGCACTATAGCCACGGTGAGGGTAGGCATTATACTCAGCACGTTACTCATCTACTAACTACCACCCACTGTAGCATACAGGCCTTGTCATAGGCCCAGGGGCAGGCAATTGTCACTCGTAGGTCCGAGGGGGGGGGGGGGGGGGGGGAATAATAGCTACTCGAAGGCCATGCTAGGGGGGATTGATAGCACAGGGGAATAAGATAGAGACTTGAGAGTCATTTGAATAGAGATTGTTACTCACATGCAACTGGGGGTGGGGGTACAGGGTAGGATGAAGATTGTTACTTATAGACCTCTGGGTAGGGGGGGAATAAGGAATGTTACTCAATAGGCTTTAGTGTAACAAGTTACCAATTCCAGGATACAGTGGGGTAAGGATGTGTAAATTATATTTAAAACAGAATGAGATCTAGTGTAAACTGTGATTTTGTTCGGAAGACCTGATATGCTACAGTGGTGGACTTGGCTAGAGTCATAGTGTTTCTTGTGCACAATTAAAACTTGTTTTTCATTGTCTGAAATTCTTATCTCTAACTTGTTTTAATGGATTTGTCCCTTTCATGTCCAATATTTTGGATGTTGAAAGGTGTTGTCAGTCAGAGGCATGTATATTTAGTTGAGAGGCTGGATGCTGCATCGATGTTAAAAACTAGAAACATTTTTTTCTTGAATTTTTAGGGTAGAATGATTTTGCATTTCTTTTTTAAAAGGGGAAATTTTGATTAAATGATGGCGACAGTTGTTGTCAGGATATTCATTTTTGTTTTGAAATTTGTTTCTTCAGTTTTACTTATAATTTTCCAATTTTATAAGAGCTTGTTAATTTTTTTTGTCAATTCTACAGCATGTAATCAACAGATTTAAAGATAATTAGAAGAAGTATCACAACAGTTTCAAGTACATACACACCTGATAAGGAAGAACTGATTTATCCCAAGGACTGTTGGCTGACTAAGCTTGTCCAGTTTACCTCCATGGCACACACCAGACAAATATAGTGTCTTTGTCTCGTCAATCAGCATTAAACATACACAATATCATATTTTAAAAAAGTAATGAAATTAAGCTTATCGGATAAAATTTGTATGTTCATGCTTCAATGAACAAGAGTGGATGTTCATTTCTCTTGTGTGGTCATTATTCAGTGAACAGGAGTGTATCGTATGATCCACTTGTACCTTAATAGCTAAATATCATATACTGCTTTGTTCATAGCAGAAAGCTTGGTGTTTAGTTTAGTTAAGTCAGTAGCTGGAAAGATTCACCCTTACACAATATGTCTTTCTGGCCAAATAGAGATAATCTGATAATCTCCTGATAATCTTTAGTGTGCTTCGTCTTCACTTCTATACACTCTTCACTCCATTGTAATACAACTAACTCTCCATTGTCATATCTTCATCATCAGTTATCTCCCTTTTAGATTACTTGTATTCAGTTATCTCCCTTTCATATTACTTCCCTTTATCTCTACTCCATATCTGCATGGTACTGTTTTACAGGGATATTACTGTGTTCATATGAAAATAAAATGTATAACAAAAAGCTTTGTGTTCAATTATAATGAATAATTGTTTTATTATTTTACTTCTTTTGCATTTTTAGAAATTCACTATTTCTTATTCAAAATTCTAAAATTTTAATATAGCTGAAAAATGTAGCGATTTATGTATAACACAGTAATGTCTTTCTGCGGTAGTCATACTCTGCATGCTGTCGTACTTCGCATGCTCTGTCTGCACGACAAGGCTGCATGTTCTTGATACCAATTAATTTAAGGATATTATGTTTACGTTCGTTTTGCATGTTTAGGGAATGTTTGATTGTGTTATGGTCATTTTCATTATGGAAGCCTCACTGGTTTCATTATCAAATTGCATTTAACTTCTTCCTTGCTCCTGGTACAATGCCATTCGAAAACTGTTTTTATATCGTGGTAATCAATTTTGTCAATTAGGTGCTGTAAGAATTCAATCTGTTTTGAATTTAGCACCATTTTTTTGTTCAATAACTTTACCTTTTATTAACATTTCCTTTTACCGTAACATTGAAAGAATATCCTCACCCTTTTTTTAAATGTAATTGACAAAAGTATAAATAAAGGGGGTAAAAAATGAAATAATTGTATGATATTCTCTAAATTTGACAATGAAAAGTTTTCAACTGTGTGAAAATGATGATTTGAAAATGACATGGTTTAAAATACTACATTGATATTGAGTTTTTGCATGATTTTGGATTTGATGCTGGTTGTTGAATCTAACAGTATAAAGAATACACCACTGTATACAATAATGTGGACAACATTGATTATCTACTAAAGGAAGCAATGAGCTTGTAGCCAGGGTTTATTGTTTGCATGCTATTTGCTAATTTTGTGGGCACATGTCACAGTGACCTTTGACCTTGACTGACGTGCAGATTGACAGACATAATGAGGTCCCATTCATATAACAGCTTAATGGCAAATGTCGGGAATAATTTAATTGGGCAGAATGCTAGCTTGCTTGGTATATGATCCGGTTTAGTTATAGATTTTTCAAAGTCACGGTAAGATTATTAGTGTTTTCAATTTATGTGTGGCTGTCTCATTGGTAAATAGATTGTTCAAGCCATGCTCAACTTCACCCATAGTAAAAATTTTCAATTTACGCCTGGTTATTTTTGTAAATTGTTTCAGTCAGGCTTACAGAAATGTGATAATCTATGGTGTATTTCCTTGAGCTCGTGATGGAATTCCCATTTATATATCCACGTCTTTGTTGTTAAACAATTACGATTTTGAAACTAAACATGTGCAGTGGATAATTTAATTAGTAGTGTCTGTGTTGTTAGTGAAATCAGAGGAAAAACCTTGTTCATGTCTACAAAGTATAGATGTAGACTCAGGATTTAATGGGTTGATCGACTAATTTAATCACGGGGTAAATCTAGTCTATGTTGAGGGGATTAGCAAACTTTGTTCTTCTTGGCAATAAAATGTATCACAAATTATCTAAGCTTGATTAGATCATATAAATTAAATGTATTCAAAAGTAAAAAGTATTTTTTATGAAATTACTATTGATAAAATATTAAATATAAAAGAATTATTTCAATTGAAAAACGAATAAACCTTTTAGTTAACAGTAATAAAAAAATTTTTCATTACAATACTTTGAACCTGAGATAAACCTAATATAAGTTTCTGATAGTGGTTTTCAATACTTTGATTTGAAGATATGATAGACGTTTTTTTTCGGTATTTAAATATGACGACTTTTGCATTACATTTTGAGAATATTTGTTTATGATTTATTGAAGTTTTTGACATTGATCAGTTTAAGTGAGGAGTATTTATCTGTTTTGGCAGCGTTCATAATGTTTCGATGTAAATTTATTGAGAGTAATGTAGAACTTGACAGTAATGGACAATGCATTATTAACAGACAGATTGAGAGCATTACACCGTTTGACAGTAGCTGAATACCAGAACATGTACGTAGGAGAGTAATATAACGTTTGACACTTTGACAATATTTGACTACCAGTACATGTATGTGTGAGAGTAATATACTGTTTGACAATATTTGACAGTATTTGACAATGCATATGATTGATTGTTAGTATTTGACGGTTGACAACAAACACTCATGCCCATTATGCACTTACAACATATCCATTCTGTATATTGTATGAACTAAGAGGTTTCAATGCAAGAGATCATTTCCTTTCTTTCCAAGAAACATAACTGTTGGAATTTATCAAACAATTCGGAAAAAAATAATAATGAAAAAAGGTATGAACAGTACATGCATTTGGTGTTATCATCTCTGATAGAGTTTCCTCGGGTAGTATCACACATAAAAAACAGGATTCAATCTTTGAAGTTTGGCAACCCTATATCATGAGAATAAAATTTGAACTCAAATCTGAAATGGTATTCTTTGAAACTGTATTTGAAACCTCTTGTACTGCCCAAGGGCTAAGGGCAGTTTGCTGTGTTGGCTACCCAATGAATTCCCTCAGAATTGCTGTAACCTTGATCCTCGTTAGGGTACGAGAGACCTGCAAAGCGTGTGCGCTACCTACTTACCTTTGGCCTATTTGTTTCTCTCCTGTAGTTGTGCATTGTCCCCCGTTGGAGCCTCATATGAACGTGGGATGTAAGTAGAACAAGCACTGGAGTTTTTTGGAGATTTTTACTCTTCTTTCATCAGTACAGGGCTGCTTTCCAGCCAAGTACGCCTAAAGCTGCAGGTGTACTCGGGCAGCTATAACCAAGTACACCTAAAGGCTTATGTCAGTACAAATTCTTAGCCAAATATGCCCTTCGCTTTAAAGATTATAGGCCGCTTTTTTCCGCCAAGTTTGCCCAAAGCTTTCAGGAATCAACACTGCTTTTCATCCAAATGCACCCATTTACTGCATCAGCTTACCCCAATCATCACTGAATCTCATCAGCACAAGAAAAATTGCACAAACGTTATTTCCTTTTGGAGAGGAAGAATACATAATAAAGAATATGGATGCTGTGTCCTGAAACCTTTGGGCACTCGTTTATTTCGAGGTGTAAACTAAATTATTACTGATGTGTACCATAAACATACAAATGTAGTGTAGAACTTGTGTGGTAGATTAGTATAACAGATACTATTGACTTCAGATCTAACACCATTACAAACATATAAATATAACATTTACTAACATTCAACATAACAACTGTTCCATTTCATCCCTCATTATTAATTAATCTTACCAGATTATAACCTCCTGTAAGATCTCGTCTTAACTTGCAGTATGTAATGTTTTGTTAGGAATTTACATTGTTGTGTAGCTTGTCCAACGATGTTGGTACTTAGTTAGTACCTGTGTTTCCATCTGTATTGTAGTCAGTATTCAACAAATGTGTTTTCAATAGAGACTGGTTTTCAAGAGAAGTAGGCTTTATATTTAAAAGTGATAAAACAACATTTAGAGAAAGTTAGTCTTAAAATTCAATAAAAAAGTCCTGTATTTAAGGAAATTTAGTCAATTATTCAAGTGGTGTTTGTCTGATATTGTATCGGCTTATAGCAAAGTCCATTCTCATATTCAACAGGGTTTGGTCTTTAATGGAAATAATTAAGTCATGTTAAATTCATGAGAGTTAAACTTTTATTCTGCAGAAACAGAAGTTAACATGCTTAGTATAATATTCAACAGTTTATTATTGTATTCAACAGTTTATTATTGTATTCAACAGTTTATTATTGTATTCAACAGTTTATTATTGTATTCAAGAGAGTTTAGTCTTATATTGAACAGTTTTTTATTCAAGAGAGTTGTGTCTTGTATTCAACAGTTTACAGTTTTGTATTTTAGAGTGTTTAACGCTATATTTAACAGTTTTGTATTTAAAATCGTCTTTTATTCAATAGAGTCACCAGAGTTGTATTACAGTCAAATGACTTAAGTATTCTATTCAAATAATGTTTGTCATTAGAAATCAGTGTTGTCTGACCATTACATCAAATTAGGCTCATTATTGATGACCGTACAGTCGATTACAATTTGTCTCTGTAATGAAGTAAGTTTAGTCTCTGTGTTATGGATTAAGTTAAGTCTCTGTGTAGTGGATTAAGTTAAGTCTCTGTGTAGTGGGTACATTTTAGTCTCTGTGTAGTGGATTAAGTTTAGTATCTGTGTAGTGGATACATTTTAGTCTCTGTGTAGTGAATACATTTTAGTCTCTGTGAAGTGGATACATTTTAGTCTCTTTGTAGTGAATACATTTTAGTCTCTGTGAAGTGGATACATTTTAGTCTCTTTGTAGTGAATACATTTTAGTCTCTGTGAAGTGGATACATTTTAGTCTCTGTGTAGTGAATACATTTTAGTCTCTGTGAAGAGGATACATTTTAGTCTCTGTGTAGTGAATACATTTTAGTCTCTGTGAAGAGGATACATTTTAGTCTCTGTGTAGTGAATACATTTTAGTCTCTGTGAAGTGGATTAAGTAAAGTCTCTGTGTAGTGGATACATTTTAGTCTCTGTGTAGTGGATTAAGTTTAGTCTGTGTAGTGGGTACATTTTAGTCTCTGCAGTAGATAAGGATTTATCTGTGTGGTAGATTAGGATTAGTCTCTGTGTAGTGGATTTAGTTAAGTATCTGGGTAGTGGATTAAGGTAAGTCCCTGTGTTGTGGAATAAGTTAAGTATCTGTATAGTGGATTAAGTTTAGTCTCTGCAGTAAATAAGGATTTATCTGTGTGGTAGATTAGGATTAGTCTCTGTGTAGTGCATTTAGTTAAGTATCTGGGTAGTGGATTAATTCTCTTAAGTAGAATAAGTTTGGTCTCTGTGTAGTGGATTAAGTCTTTGTAATAGATTTAGTTTAGTCTCTGTGTAGTGGATTAAGTTTAGTCTGTGTTTAGTGAATATCTGTGTAGTGGATTAAGTTTAGTCTCTGCAGTAGATAAGGATTTATCTGTGTGGTAGATTAGGATTAGTCTCTGTGTAGTGGATTTAGTTAAGTATCTGGGTAGTAGATTAAGTCTCTTAAGTAGATTTAGTTTAGTCTCTGTAGTGGATTTAGTTTAGTCTCTGTGTAGTGGATTAAGTTTAGTCTCTGTGTAGTGGATTACGTTTAGTCTCTGTAATAGATTAGGATTAATCTGTGTGGTAGATTAGGATTAGTCTCTAACACTTTATCTTTGTAGAAATCCTACCTTAATTAAAAAGAAATATTTATTAAAAATAAAACTTAGTGTAGATAGCTACAACTGTGTATATTACTATTACTTAGTACGTAGTCCCACCATATCATATGGTAGTGTGTCAGCACAATTTAGATGTAGTATGCAAGTGAAATAAAATGAATGAAAATATATATAGTAAACATTGTTATATCATACTCATTTCATACACAGATAGATCTATTAACTAAGTATTGTATGATGTGATTTTGAATTTTCCTTAAACGGCCCTTTGATTGGCCTATATCTGCCTCAGTAAGATAAAGCCAAATATAAGAACAGCATCCTGCAGTATTCAGCTTCGTCAACCAGGAAAACAAAGAGCAGGGAATCAAATCATTTCATGATCACATCCTTGATGTGACCATTTTTTTGAAATTCATAAAATGCTTCACAAAACAGTCATTATGTGTGTGCTAAATGTCTGGCATGGCAGTGTGGAGTGGTCCCTGTTAATGGTTGTACTTCCTCTGTAGCGACCGTGCCCCTGTTTCCTCCGCCTGGCTCGTACAAGACATACGTAGATCCACACACTTACGAGGACCCAAACCAGGCTGTCCGGGAGTTCACACGAGAAATAGACGCTTCCCATATCACTATAGAGTCTGTTATAGGGGGAGGTAAGTTGTGAGCAATCTGTCTGTTATAAGGGGAGGTAAGTTTTAAATGACAAGTTATAATAAAGGGAGATAATTTTGTATGACAGTCTGTTATAAGGTTAAAATAAGCTGTGTGTTCAAACTGATTTACAAGGAATTCAAATTTTGTGGTTTTCTGAAAATTCTTTTTTTCCTTTTTTTCCTTTATTCAATAAAAAGAAAAATCAAATCATCATTAAATTTTTTGCTTTTTCCTGTGTGTAGTTTTTGGAATTTAGATTTTTTCCCTGTTAATTGGATATGTCACATATCGAAGTAAAATCATTAAAATTGTATTCTTTGAATTTTGTTTTACTATCCAAATTTTTGTATATTCAAATAAAAAAGCTTGAATTTGTCTGAATTCTAAAGTCCAAGTCCTATAAAAAAAATAATGTTTTCTTTGATTTTATGATCTATTGAGGTTGGTTGAGTTTTGATTGGCTGGTTTGTTCTGTTTCCAGGTGAATTCGGTGACGTTTGTAAAGGTAAACTTCGTAAGCCTGCCCACCCTGAAATGACGGTCGCAATCAAAACACTCAAACCAGGAGCCACAGATAAAAACCGTTTAGACTTCCTGACAGAGGCGAGCATCATGGGACAGTTTGATGATCCAAATGTTATATTCCTCGAAGGTGTCGTCACAAAAAGTAAGTTCCATGGAACTAGTGGGATAGTGTGGCAGTAATATAGGGCATCAGATCGTAGTGTGTAACATGGCAGTAATATAGGGCATCCAATCGTAGTGTGTAACATGGCAGTAATATAGGGCATCAGATCGTAGTGTGTAACATGGCAGTACTATAGGGCATAAGATCGTATTGTGTAACATGGCAGTAATATAGGGCATCAGATCGGAGTGTGTAACATGGCAGTACTATAGGGCATCAGATCGTAGTCTGTAACATGGCAGTAATATAGGGCATCAGATCGGAGTGGGTAACATGGCAGTACTATAGGGCATCAGATCGTAGTCTGTAACATGGCAGTACTATAGGGCATCAGATGGTAGTGTTTAACATGGCAGTAATATAGGGCATCAGATCGTAGTGGGTAACATGGCAGTAATATAGGGCATCAAATCTTAGTGTGTAACATGGCAGTAATATAGGGCATCAGAGCGTAGTGTGTAACATGGCAGTACTATAGGGCATAAGATCGTATTGTGTAACATGGCAGTAATATAGGGCATCAGATCGGAGTGTGTAACATGGCAGTACTATAGGGCATCAGATCGTAGTCTGTAACATGGCAGTAATATAGGGCATCAGATCGGAGTGTGTAACATGGCAGTAATATAGGGCATCAGATCGGAGTGGGTAACATGGCAGTACTATAGGGCATCAGATCGTAGTCTGTAACATGGCAGTACTATAGGGCATCAGATGGTAGTGTGTAACATGCCAGTACTCTAGGGCATCCGATCGTAGTGTGTAACATTGCAGTAATATAGGGCATCAAATCTTAGTGTGTAACATGGCAGTACTATAGGGCATCAGATGGTAGTGTTTAACATGGCAGTAATATAGGGCATCAGATCGTAGTCTGTAACATGGCAGTAATATAGGGCATCAGATCGGAGTGTGTAACATGGCAGTAATATAGGGCATCAGAGCGTAGTGTGTAACATGGCAGTACTATAGGGCATCAGATGGTAGTGTGTAACATGGCAGTACTCTAGGGCATCCGATCGTAGTGTGTAACATGGCAGTAATATAGGGCATCAAATCGTAGTGTGTAACATGGCAGTACTATAGGGCATCAGATGGTAGTGTTTAACATGGCAGTAATATAGGGCATCAGATCGTAGTGTGTAACATGGCTGGTTAACAGCTACCCAGAAATACTTCATCACACCATTTCTGCCGAACGTGTAATAATCCTCACAAGGAAGCAGCACTACTTTAGTATTTTGTCAGAAGCACTTAAACTTCTATAAAAGAAGTAGCAGTTCTGTTGTGAAACCTTGCTGTAATTTAATTTTTCCTCCTGTGGCAGGTAGTAGATTTTTGTGGTTTCTTTTAAGATTTATTACTGTTTGAAGGTGGTTGTTCTGTACAATTATTACTTATTCATCTTTTCTGGCTTTTGAAAATAAATATTGTCTACTTTATTTATATTTTGTTTCTTTCATTTCTAGGTCATCCCATTATGATTGTAACCGAGTATATGGCCAATGGGTCTCTAGACACGTACCTCAGGGTAAGTCAGCATGCTTATACTAAACCACCCAATAGACACTAAACTTAGGGACTTGCGTCCCTGATGAGGTCCAAAGGTTTAAATATTTCATTTTCTCTCAGGAAAATATTTATGATACAAGTTTTTATTCGTTTTTACTTTTTCCTTGAAACAAGTACATCCATTAAAACTTTGGTTGGGATATTCTTCTTGTATTCAACGGAGCATTCGGTATACATCAACATCTCGTTATACTGCCACCATTTGTCCAGAGAAAATTTTATATAGGGAAATGTATGTATTAAGGAATTCTTAAGAAAATCAGAAAAGGGGATATTGAAATATTTTGGCCGTAAACAAGGTGGTAAGTGAAATTAGGGGCATTAAATCGAGGGTGAACTATATTTGAAATATTTTATTTCTTATGTTACTTGTCATTTTTGAATAATAATCGTAATATTTTCATTTTAAAAATGATATTTTAAATGGTAAGTCATTTCAAATGTTGTCTCCATAATGTTCCTGAATTTATCCCTCACTATACTGAGCTACACTGTTGGACAGTGTCCCCTAAATCTGTGTCTAGATATCAAGGTCACCAATGTCTCGTCAAATGCTCTGTTGTCAAAGATTTAGGAATAACGTGTAAATCATCACTGTTTACTTTTGCTGATCGCTGAGGAAGGAAGAAATGAAATTTGATGATTAATTATTTGAAGTGAAGGCTATCGAGGCTGTAATTATAACACGGCCATTCATAGGTCCACAGATCACTGAACACAACATAAATTTTCGGACAATCACATCGCCCGATTACACAGCGACAGGCAACACCACTAGAGTCAGGATCCTACCCAATTACAGATCGACAAAGTGATAATCTAATGTGTTCAAAATCCCATTCCCGCCGATGACTAAGGGCCGATTTGCATTAAGTATCACATTTTTCGTAAGATTTATTTTTTTGCTCTGACCTCTTGTGAATAGAAATTAATTCAGAATTTCTCCCAAAATATGTAATCTGCTCTCTAATGCAAGGATTATGCTGAAGGAAGCCACAGCCGATATGTATATATTGATATGTTGTCAGGGTATAGCCATACCTCAACCACTACGTTCATCTCCCTCATGTCAACAATGTCCGTTACGTTATATCAGCTCCGACGACATTACAGTAGACAAATTACTTCACATTTATATGAGAAACGTGTCTGATTTCACAGACACATTTCGCATACGAAGTATATGTATACAGCTAAGACACAATTAGGAATATGAGATACCCAGGGTTGTAGGGTCTAGATGAAGTCATATACAGGAGAAATAGTATCTTTTCAATTACTGTTATGTAAATCAAGGCTTATTCATACACAAGACAAGTAATTCTTTAAAATCAAAGTGGGTTTTGGTGTAGAGTCAAGAATTCAGCAACTTACAAATAAGAAAACAAAGTTTCAGCATTATACAATGTACATATATACACATTAAAAGATAAAAGTTTATTTTTTATAATATATACAAAACGTGTTCCTTGTTGAAAACGTTTTTCAAGCATGTGAGTGACCTAGACAGATCCGACATGATAAATGGGCCTACTAATGTCGCAGCTTTATGCCGAGATTAGAATGGGAAATGTTCATTAATTGTTGTGTGCATGATCTGGTGGGGAGAATACTTATTTAATGGTCAGTTTAAGTAAACCTGGCTGATGTTAGCAGCTTTAGGTCATTGTATCCTCATCACCACCAGCTCTAGCGGGAACTTGATCCGCGTCTATAGGAGATAGAGCCGAGGCTGTCCTCATCTGAAGGAGTTGGAGCCAGGGAGTCGTATAACCTTCTTGTACTTTGTCATCAATTCATGACAGCTTTGTCCTCAAAGGGATTGTGTTTTAACCACACAATCAAACAGACAGCAACAGTTCCTACAGTTAGGTCCACCTTCATCATCGGCAGGAGTTTGAAATATTAAGAAATAAAGGCACTTTTAAACAAACTACTGAGTAATGCAGCTCAGTTAAACAAGGTGCCTCAGGAGGCGAAGTTGATTAAAACAGTTACAATATAAATACCCTGCCTACCTTACTTTTAGGTATACCAAACCTAATATGGCTAGTGTCTTGCAATTGCTATTAACGTCTGAAACACCGTCTTTGTAGGACCTTTGTAAGACTATTTTATACAATGATACCTTTTAGCTACCTTATTTTTTAGACAGTCGAACATTTAGAGAAAATGAATTAGACTTGCAATATGTTTATCACGATCTGTTGTACTTTTTGTTCACAGAATAATGATGGGAAATTCACGATCATACAGTTGGTAGGAATGATGCGAGGTATAGCGGCTGGAATGAGGTACCTCTCAGAGATGGGCTATGTTCACCGAGTAAGTGGATCTCATTGAAACAACACACTACTGCACAAGTGATCTTTAACAGAAAAGAAATTTCAGCTACACACTTGCCAACTTTTTGAAAATGTCATGTTGGGGGAGGGGGGATTACGCGTGCTCAGATTTAAAAGCATCGATAAAATGTGTGTATGTACACCATGGGGAAGAAATAACACCTTTAAATGGCATCTGTTTTAGCTGTTCTTTCAGATGAAATCATCCGATCTTAAGAAATAGGAATAATTTAGCACATTCACTGGTTGGAAATGCTCAATGTTCGGGTCCTAAATCGGGACCCCCTCTCTAAATAGGGTTAGCAAGTATGCAACTGCAATATGAGTTGTAAAGCAATATCATAATATACTACATTGATTTTGTTTCAGGACCTAGCAGCTAGGAATATTTTAGTCAATGAAAACTTGGTATGCAAAGTGGCTGACTTTGGTCTGTCTCGTGAGGTGGACATTGACACAACTGACGGTGCTTACACAACAAAGGTATGTAACTCTTTTGGAAGAGTCAGTCATTGTTATCTCCCCCTTTATGTAATTAAATTTACCATCGTGTACATCAGAAACATTATTTGTACAATCTGTTTGTTGGCCAGCCTTATTTAGATGAGCTTTATGTGAGTGAGTATGTAAATGTTGTCAGCTTTACTAAGATTAATGAAATAAAATATTTAGCCTTGATGAAGTTAATTATGTTTGACTTGTATAAATTTGGGCACTCTACTAAGATGAACATTACCTATGACCTGTATGTAACCTTCTGCCTTACTGAAATGAACATTATGTGACGCTAGTGTAATCGTCAGCTTTTACTAAGATGAACATAATATGTATGATGTGTATGTGTAGTTGTTGTCCTTATGGAGGTGTGTATTACATATTATATCTAACCTGTATGTAGTTGTTGTCCTTACGGAGAAGTGTATTACATATTATATCTAACCTGTGTGTAGTTGTTGTCCTTATGGAGATGTGTACTACATATTATAACTAACCTTTATGTAGTTGGTGTCCTTATGGAGATGTGTATTAAATATTATATCTAACCTGTATGTAGTTGGTGTCCTTATGGAGATGTGTACTACATATTATCTCTAACCTGTATGTAGTTGTTGTCCTTATGGAGATGTGTATTACATATTGTATCTAACCTGTATGTAGTTGTTGTCCTTATGGATATGTGTACTACATATTATATCTAACATGAATGTAGTTGGTGTCCTTACAGAGATGTGTATTACAGATTATATCTAACCTGTATGTAGTTGTTCCCCTTACGGAGATGTGTATACATATTATATCTAACATGTATGTAGTTAGTGTCCTTATGGAGATGTGTATTACATATTGTATCTAACCTGTATGTAGTTGTTGTCCTTACGGAGATGTGTACTACATATTATATCTAACCTTTATGTAGTTGGTGTCCTTATGGAGATGTGTACTACATATTATAACTAACCTTTATGTAGTTGGTGTCCTTATGGAGATGTGTACTACATATTATCTCTAACCTGTATGTAGTTGTTGTCCTTATGGAGGTGTGTATTACATATTATATCTAACCTGTGTGTAGTTGTTGTCCTTATGGAGATGTGTACTACATATTATCTCTAACCTGTATGTAGTTGTTGTCCTTATGGAGGTGTGTATTACATATTATATCTAACCTGGATGTAGTTGTTGTCCTTATGGAGATGTGTACTACATATTATATCTAACATGTATGTAGTTGGTGTCCTTACAGAGATGTGTATTACATATTATATCTAACCTGTATGTAGTTGTTGTCCTTATGGAGATGTGTACTACATATTATATCTAACCTGTATGTAGGTGGTGTCCTTATGGAGATGTGTACTACATATTATATCTAACCTGTATGTAGGTGGTGTCCTTATGGAGATGTGTACTACATATTATAACTAACCTTTATGTAGTTGGTGTCCTTATGGATATGTGTACTACATATTATATCTAACCTGTATGTAGTTGGTGTCCTTATGGAGATGTGTATCACCTGTTACAGGGAGGAAAGATACCGGTGAGGTGGACAGCACCCGAGGCTATAGCATTCCGTAAATTTACCACCGCCTCCGATATCTGGAGCTACGGGGTGGTAATGTGGGAGATTATTTCGTATGGTGAGCGACCATATTGGAATTGGTCCAACCAGGATGTGATACGAGCCGTAGAGAAAGGGTACCGCCTACCTCCCCCTATGGTAAGTCAGCTACAGCAACAAAATAATTTATCTACAAAGTTATAGTGTCATCTGCTCAGGAGTTTGAACAAAGAATACTGTAGATTTCATTGAATTAAGCAGGCAGAATCAGGATATTAAGCCGAAGAGAGATCCTGTTTTAAGGAAGTTAATATTAGAATCTTAATAACCAATCAAAATACATACTCAGATGTGATTATAGGGGACAGCTCAGGTCTGAAGAATTCAAAATTTGTAAAAAAGAATTTTCAAAATTCAAAACACACTTATTGCTTCATAAGAAATTTATATATTAATATCATAGCATTTAGCCTGTGTTGCTTTTATGAACATCAGGAATACCGAATTTACTTTGTATCTTCATTCACACTGTAACTCGTACAGCGTTCCTACATCAACAAAGGTGTTGTACACGTCCTGTTGCTATGTTTACATTACTCTATGTGTCGTGTCTCCCCAGGATTGTCCTGAAGCCATCCACCAACTCATGCTGGACTGCTGGCAGAAGGACCGAGGCAACCGTCCAAAATTTGTACAGATCGTCAAGTCTCTAGACAAGTTCATCAGGGCACCAGAACTACTACGCAAAATTGCTAAACCAAGGTACACTTAATGGGATTTCTGAAAAGTGTGTGCAACATGTATTTGAGGAACCCGCCAAGATTTCAGTTATATAAACACTGTCGTATGGTTATAACAAGTTCTAAACTTGATTAGATTTTTGTGTTTCAGTCAAGGTTAAAAAGTCACCATCTACTACTTTTGAAGTAAAACACTTATGCACAAGACATAAAATAAAAACAAGAGAGATTTGTGCACTGTATTTTGTTCTATACAGTAAAACTTTGTGATAACCCTGATAGAACTACTGTGTTTAGATTGCATCACCTCAGGTCATTGTACATATGCTATGTCTTCTTAAAGAGGTTGAAAATGGAGGAAAACCATACTCCTACCACTGGTAATCACATCCACCATTTTCCGATCACGGGGGAGTATCTTTATAAGGCCCCGCTCACTTATTGTTTGGTTTGTGTTTCAACTGCTTCAGCAAAACTTCTAAAAAAAATACCGGTAGAATCATATTGCTCTCTTAATGTGCATTCAATTGCCATTTTAATAAATTAATTTACAAGAGATTGAATAACATCAAAAGGATCTGATTCTACAATAAAATAAAGCCTCTGTTTGACACTTTTTCTCCCATTTTATATTGTAGGCCAGAACACCTGATGGACGCTGGATTCTCCGCACCAGAGGTACCACAGTACACTAATGTAGAGAGCTGGCTGATCTCAATCAAAATGGAGAAATACATTGACAATTTTCTTCAGGCAGGTTATCGTACTATGGACCAGGTCGCGACGATAACTCCTAAGGACCTAGAGGTCACGTTACAAATCACGCTAATAGGTCACCAGAAGAAAATCATGAACTCAGTACAAACATTACGTGTGCAAATGTATGGACTACAGTTTCCACAGATGTCCGATGGATTCCTTGTATAGCATCGACTGTTCATGATCACGACAGCTTTTGTGTGTGTGTGTCTGAAGTCTCGTGTCATTGTGTGTTACTGACATTGCCACGTTTGTGTCCGTCACATTGAGATGGAGCCTACTCCTGTTGGCATGGAAACAATGGTACCATGTCATTGACAAATCCGCTTTTTAAAACCATCAAAACTTGCAGTGGCTCAAAGGTGGCGCTGTGAGTTGTCGACCAATGGAAGCCTTGTGTGTGCTTAGGTTGTAGGTGGAGAAGAAAGTAATTGCTTACAAACTAAAACTGCCTAAAGGTACAGTACAAACAAATGGATAACTCCAATCGCACGTACAGACATCGTTGTGTCAGCTTGTACAGACAACACCAAGGTGAAGGTGAGAAGTGTCAGTGTCAAGGTCGTATTCCCATTACCTGTGTGTTGATGTGTCTCCAGAGGAGGTTTCTCATGTGTCTGCTTCATTTTGTATATTCATCAGGCTTCGCTGTGATTGGTTGACTGACTGGAGATTACCGTAGTTGCAAATAATTTCGGCCAATTGGATTCATGTAGACTTGTTTGACAATTGATAATATATGCTGTCACCCGAGGAAAAGTTTGTGTGTGAGGAACAACATTGTGTGATTATATTACATTATTGGCATGACTTACATATTCAGCCGTCAGAATAAGATTGGATGGGGTGAACATTCATTTTAATTCAGTCACGTTTTTGGTGAAATTTCGAAGAAAATTTAATTGGGGAATCTATTGATCCAAATATGCAACATTTCCTATGATAGAGTGAGAGTATGATGGCAGTGAGAGGGTTTCAGTGTGATATATATGACCACTGAGTTTTAACTAAATAACATGACAGTTTCGCCATGGTAGACATGGAGCCAGTATAACTGGCATATATCACATGACTGTCACATGACATGTGAAAAATATTACATGCCTGTCATGATTTGTGAACTGTATTTATGTGCTCCTATAGGTGAGTGGCTTGTTGTATTCCATATGGGGTGTGCTCTGGGTAGACTCTCCACAGATCACTAGTGTCCTGATCAGCTCGGCTGTTTTAGTCCTGTACTGAACACTTAAACTTCAGTACTGTTTATACTTACTTTAGATTTTATTACAATGCCAAATTTACTGATGAAAATATCGATCTGTTTAGAATCTACCCAAAGCAGTTTAAAACTATTGTGTATATACTTTTGACATATTTATTGTGATATTCCGAACATTTTGTATACAACCCCCCGTCACATTACCTCATTTAATTGTAGTTTAATAGGGGTCTCTGTGATTTTTCATTTTCACCGATGACACTCAGTTGCTAATTTGTTCAGTATATATTTGCCTTGTGTCTCACTAAATGGTAGATCTGCTGCTAAAGTAGTTTGCTTCATTGTTAAGCTTATTTTCTTGGCAACTGGCCAAGACTCGCTCGACACTATTTCTGTTTCAGTGTGATCACTAGCGACACCTACAATAAACTCATGACGGGGAATAATAGCAATTTTTGTTGTGTTCATTTTAGTTGTTGACGCTGCTTTAGATGGTTTTTGTTTTATGTTTTAAAATTAGCACTAGAGGTTCTTTACTTACCTGAATAAAAAAGTGAAATAAGTATCTCATAGAAATGGCTCTCGGTACATTAAGTGGACCTAATCATTATTACAGTCTTATAATTGATTTCATACTTCAATAAAGTGAGTGAAATTTTGGTGCTGTTTTATTTCAAAATTCCCATTACACTAGATTGACCTGATCATTATTTTAGGCTTAGAAATAGATTTCTTACTTTAGTAAAATGATTTCAATTTTGGTGCTGTTTTATTCCAAATTTTGATTTTAACATGAATATCCTCAAGTTTTCCATTTGGCAGATAAACACCCAACACAACACTGTATCAAATGGTGTTGCTAGTTTGAGCCAATAAACTACAACCTTCATTCACTGGCTGTGATAATATTCTAAGCCAAGCCATTACAATATCTGCTCCATGCTCTCGCCATTGTATTATCCTAGACAAGCTACTACAGTACAGCCTCAATCACTTACCACTTTAGTGCTTGACGGTTTTCTCCTTTGCACTTTTTTACTGCAAGTGAAATATTTTAGTGAAATATTTTTTTAAGTTATGATTTATTTCATGTATTCGTTGTAACTGAAATTCCCACCAATGATAAACCACATTGACAGCAAACACATCAGCTACTGTATGAAGATAAAAAATTAAACTTGAATGACAGAGCAGAATTTTTGATGTCTGATTTGTTTCTAGTTTTCTACCGGGTTGAGTTGGCGGGGTTTCACTGTGTGTTGTAGCTGTATAGAGTGTGTGTCCAGATGTACACTGAGACAGGTAGGACCACAGGCACAAATAAGACAATGACCGTGTGAACATGTGTTACTCTATCTCACCAGTTATATATCAATATTTTTGTAAATAGATTCACAGACATTGCTTGCAGAAAAGTCTAGATATTGGGCATGAAAGACTGTACATATATGTTGTCAGAGGTGGAAATCAGACAAGTGAAAATTCATTAAGGTCATCACTACAAGTGACATTTATATCTAGATCATTGGTCATGAGATCATACATATCTCAAGGTCATTGGTCATGAGGTCATGCGTTTCTCAAGGTTAGTGATCATGAGGTCCTATGTACATCAAGATAAATGATCAAAAGGTCACATATATCTCAAGGTCAGTGATCATAAGGTCACATAATCTCAAGGTCAGTGATCATGAAGTCACATATAATCTCAAGGTCAGTGATCAAGTCACATATAATCTCAAGGTCAGTGATCATGAAGTCACATATAATCTTAAGGTCAGTGATCATAAGGTCACATAATCTCAAGGTCAGTGATCATAAGGTCATATAATCTCAAGGTCAGTGATCATGAATTTACATGTATTAAGTAAGTGATGTCGGTGTAGGAGAATGTCCTACTCTGTCCAAGCGTACCCATCACATGCCTTACTTCATTGTGGAAAGTGCTGTTATGCATTGTCTTCATTAGTGACAGAGATGCTGATGGGTGTGAGGATAGCCAGTGTATGTATATCAAACTCCCGCTGCCACGATCCTCTGTAACCTGGTTTGATAACTCATCATATCAAGAAGTGAGGAAGGCATAATGATGATAAAATTTCGCCAAAAGAATTTATGTAAAAATAGTTTATACATGTATGTCTCATAATCTTTGTGAACCATGCTTGTTACAACTTGCATATTGTGAAATGTCCACCTTTTTGGTACAGTATTAATAGTTATAGACGCCATACCAGTTATCTCATTCACCCCTACAGTTGGAAACTGGACTTGCCAAGTCTTTGATTTGGTAAGGTTCCACTGCGACTTTAGGGGTGAATGGGTTAACAAAGATAACACTGTTCAATGTGTGCAGTTTGTACTACCATTGTCTTTGTCCTCTTTACTCCCACCAGCATCTCTAATCACCTGTCACACTGCGAGAACGCCATCACACAAATCAACTGTAGTAAGAAAATGTGTTTCAGTAAGATATGTAAATATGTGTTTATAAAACAGCCTGTATATATATACGCAAAAGTTACATATGTTGGTGTGCAGATCAGTAAAGGCCAACTGCACTTGTGCATAATGTGGTCGACAAAACGCTTTATGTGAACAAGTACATATTTGCAAGTGTGCGTAGATATGTATGTAAATGTTAGGTGTGTGTGTATGTGTAGATGTTAGGTGTGTGTGTGTGTGTAGATGTTAGGTGTGTGTGTATGTAGATGTTAGATATGTCTGTAGATGTGTGTGTATGTGTAGATGTGTATGTAGATATTAGATGTGTGTGTATGTGTAGGCGTGTGAGAGTATAGGAATGTCTTTATGTGGGTATACACTGTATTTGTTCATCAGATGTACATATGTTTTTTGACCAGATTTATGGGTTTTTTACTCTCATTGAAACACCTTTTTGTGTTTTATCTTGACATGAATGTGCTCTTAATAAAACAATTGTAAAACTCATTCAAGCTTCCATTAAAATAAAGTTCCCAATAAGACGGGAGTTGAGGTTTTACCGTTGCTCTCTGCCTTAAATGCGTTTATTTTTACTCTGTTGTTACCTGTTAGTGATTGGGATCCTTTGATGGGGTCAAACTGCATTTGTTGAAGTTTTGGTTTTTGATTTCAGTGTATCACTGACATGTTTTTTAACTTTCCTGTTTTAGATTTGATCTCCACAAACTTCTTATAGTCCCAAGTATGTTCTTAATTAAATTGTTTCGAAAATCAATTTTTGGGATAAAATGTTATGAAAATCAATTTTAGAAAAAGAAAAATTGATTGATTCCAATTATTTTAGTGCTTGTTTTAACAATTTCTGAAAGTTTTCGCTTATCTGTCAATCAGATTTATTGTCAGTACTATCATTTCCATCTAAATTGAGTTCAATCTATTTTCAATGAAGTAATTTTTCTTTTATTGGACAAAAGTGTTGTAATATGATTGATGAGAGGATGAAAGTGTGGTCAAGTTCTGGAGCGTCTGTGTGGACGTCCAGGAGAGTTTGTGGTGTGTTCTGTAGCGTCTGTGTGGACGTCCAGGAGAGTTTGTGGTGTGTTCTGGAGCGTCTGTGTGGACGTCCAGGAGAGTTTGTGGTGTGTTCTGGAGCGTCTGTGTGGACGTCCAGGAGAGTTTGTGGTGTGTTCTGGAGCGTCTGTGTGGACGTCCAGGAGAGTTTGTGGTGTGTTCTGGAGCGTCTGTGTGGACGTCCAGGAGAGTTTGTGGTGTGTTCTGGAGCGTCTGTGTGGACGTCCAGGAGAGTTTGTGGTGTGTTCTGGAGCGTCTGTGTGGACGTCCAGGAGAGTTTGTGGTGTGTTCTGGAGCGTCTGTGTGGACGTCCAGGAGAGTTTGTGGTGTGTTCTGGAGCGTCTGTGTGGACGTCCAGGAGAGTTTGTGGTGTGTTCTGGAGCGTCTGTGTGGACGTCCAGGAGAGTTTGTGGTGTGTTCTGCAGCGTCTGTGTGGACGTCCAGGAGAGTTTGTGGTGTGTTAGATGTGCAACCAATACAATTCCATATTGATGACAATAAACATAAATTTGTTGACCACATTTATATCACCTTCAATAAAGATAAATTGAACCATTTACAATTATGTGTTTGTGCTGCTTTTTTGGGACAAAACAGTGAGGGGCATAACTCTGCTGCTTTTTGAGTTGAAATAATCTGTGGACATAACTCAATAAAGGGGGGCATAACTCTGCTGTTTTGTGGGATGACATGATGATGGGCTATCCTAACTCTGCTGTTTTGTGTGGTGACGCTATGCGGGGCTATCCTAACTCTGCTGTTTTGTGGGATGACACTATGAGGGGGCTATCCTAACTCTGCTGTTTTGTGGGATGACGCTATGAGGGGCTATCCTAACTCTGCTGTTTTGTGGGATGACACTATGAGGGGCTATCCTAACTCTGCTGTTTTGTGGGATGACACTATGAGGGGCTATCCTAACTCTGCTGTTTTGTGGGATGACACTATGAGGGGCTATCCTAACTCTGCTGTTTTGTGGGATGACACTATGAGGGGCTATCCTAACTCTGCTGTTTTGTGGGATGACACTATGAGGGGCTATCCTAACTCTGCTGTTTTGTGGGATGACACTATGAGGGGCTATCCTAACTCTGCTGTTTTGTGGGATGACACTATGAGGGGCTATCCTAACTCTGCTGTTTTGTGGGATGACACTATGAGGGGCTATCCTAACTCTGCTGTTTTGTGGGATGACACTATGAGGGGCTATCCTAACTCTGCTGTTTTGTGGGATGACACTATGAGGGGCTATCCTAACTCTGCTGTTTTGTGGGATGACACTATGAGGGGCTATCCTAACTCTGCTGTTTTGTGGGATGACACTATGAGGGGCTATCCTAACTCTGCTGTTTTGTGGGATGACACTATGAGGGGCTATCCTAACTCTGCTGTTTTGTGGGATGACACTATGAGGGGCTATCCTAACTCTGCTGTTTTGTGGGATGACACTATGAGGGGCTATCCTAACTCTGCTGTTTTGTGGGATGACACTATGAGGGGCTATCCTAACTCTGCTGTTTTGTGGGATGACACTATGAGGGGCTATCCTAACTCTGCTGTTTTGTGGGATGACACTATGAGGGGCTATCCTAACTCTGCTGTTTTGTGGGATGACACTATGAGGGGCTATCCTAACTCTGCTGTTTTGTGGGATGACACTATGAGGGGCTATCCTAACTCTGCTGTTTTGTGGGATGACACTATGAGGGGCTATCCTAACTCTGCTGTTTTGTGGGATGACACTATGAGGGGCTATCCTAACTCTGCTGTTTTGTGGGATGACACTATGAGGGGCTATCCTAACTCTGCTGTTTTGTGGGATGACACTATGAGGGGCTATCCTAACTCTGCTGTTTTGTGGGATGACACTATGAGGGGCTATCCTAACTCTGCTGTTTTGTGGGATGACACTATGAGGGGCTATCCTAACTCTGCTGTTTTGTGGGATGACACTATGAGGGGCTATCCTAACTCTGCTGTTTTGTGGGATGACACTATGAGGGGCTATCCTAACTCTGCTGTTTTGTGGGATGACACTATGAGGGGCTATCCTAACTCTGCTGTTTTGTGGGATGACACTATGAGGGGCTATCCTAACTCTGCTGTTTTGTGGGATGACACTATGAGGGGCTATCCTAACTCTGCTGTTTTGTGGGATGACACTATGAGGGGCTATCCTAACTCTGCTGTTTTGTGGGATGACACTATGAGGGGCTATCCTAACTCTGCTGTTTTGTGGGATGACACTATGAGGGGCTATCCTAACTCTGCTGTTTTGTGGGATGACACTATGAGGGGCTATCCTAACTCTGCTGTTTTGTGGGATGACACTATGAGGGGCTATCCTAACTCTGCTGTTTTGTGGGATGACACTATGAGGGGCTATCCTAACTCTGCTGTTTTGTGGGATGACACTATGAGGGGCTATCCTAACTCTGCTGTTTTGTGGGATGACACTATGAGGGGCTATCCTAACTCTGCTGTTTTGTGGGATGACACTATGAGGGGCTATCCTAACTCTGCTGTTTTGTGGGATGACACTATGAGGGGCTATCCTAACTCTGCTGTTTTGTGGGATGACACTATGAGGGGCTATCCTAACTCTGCTGTTTTGTGGGATGACACTATGAGGGGCTATCCTAACTCTGCTGTTTTGTGGGATGACACTATGAGGGGCTATCCTAACTCTGCTGTTTTGTGGGATGACACTATGAGGGGCTATCCTAACTCTGCTGTTTTGTGGGATGACACTATGAGGGGCTATCCTAACTCTGCTGTTTTGTGGGATGACACTATGAGGGGCTATCCTAACTCTGCTGTTTTGTGGGATGACACTATGAGGGGCTATCCTAACTCTGCTGTTTTGTGGGATGACACTATGAGGGGCTATCCTAACTCTGCTGTTTTGTGGGATGACACTATGAGGGGCTATCCTAACTCTGCTGTTTTGTGGGATGACACTATGAGGGGCTATCCTAACTCTGCTGTTTTGTGGGATGACACTATGAGGGGCTATCCTAACTCTGCTGTTTTGTGGGATGACACTATGAGGGGCTATCCTAACTCTGCTGTTTTGTGGGATGACACTATGAGGGGCTATCCTAACTCTGCTGTTTTGTGGGATGACACTATGAGGGGCTATCCTAACTCTGCTGTTTTGTGGGATGACACTATGAGGGGCTATCCTAACTCTGCTGTTTTGTGGGATGACACTATGAGGGGCTATCCTAACTCTGCTGTTTTGTGGGATGACACTATGAGGGGCTATCCTAACTCTGCTGTTTTGTGGGATGACACTATGAGGGGCTATCCTAACTCTGCTGTTTTGTGGGATGACACTATGAGGGGCTATCCTAACTCTGCTGTTTTGTGGGATGACACTATGAGGGGCTATCCTAACTCTGCTGTTTTGTGGGATGACACTATGAGGGGCTATCCTAACTCTGCTGTTTTGTGGGATGACACTATGAGGGGCTATCCTAACTCTGCTGTTTTGTGGGATGACACTATGAGGGGCTATCCTAACTCTGCTGTTTTGTGGGATGACACTATGAGGGGCTATCCTAACTCTGCTGTTTTGTGGGATGACACTATGAGGGGCTATCCTAACTCTGCTGTTTTGTGGGATGACACTATGAGGGGCTATCCTAACTCTGCTGTTTTGTGGGATGACACTATGAGGGGCTATCCTAACTCTGCTGTTTTGTGGGATGACACTATGAGGGGCTATCCTAACTCTGCTGTTTTGTGGGATGACACTATGAGGGGCTATCCTAACTCTGCTGTTTTGTGGGATGACACTATGAGGGGCTATCCTAACTCTGCTGTTTTGTGGGATGACACTATGAGGGGCTATCCTAACTCTGCTGTTTTGTGGGATGACACTATGAGGGGCTATCCTAACTCTGCTGTTTTGTGGGATGACACTATGAGGGGCTATCCTAACTCTGCTGTTTTGTGGGATGACACTATGAGGGGCTATCCTAACTCTGCTGTTTTGTGGGATGACACTATGAGGGGCTATCCTAACTCTGCTGTTTTGTGGGATGACACTATGAGGGGCTATCCTAACTCTGCTGTTTTGTGGGATGACACTATGAGGGGCTATCCTAACTGTGCTGTTTTGTGGGATGACACTATTAGGGGCTATCCTAACTGTGCTGTTTTGTGGGTTGATGCTATGAGGGGCTATCCTAACTCTGTGCTGTTTGTGGGATGACACTATGCGGGGCTATCCTAACTGTGCTGTTTTGTGGGATGACACTATGAGGGGCTATCATGTGAGAAGGGATAAAAAAACAATGCATGTTACAAAAGATGAGATGACAACTTGACATTTGCTAATAAACAGTGTTGTATATCCTTATTGCAGTCACTCTAGCATCTGTGAACCAGACCAGTATCTGTAAACATTTACGATGTTAAACTACCAAAGGTAAAGCAAAAAGTTTGTTATGCATGATCCATGCTAGGTACGTCGACCAATCAAGTAGCTTGTCAGAATGTTTGTCGTTCCAGATCTACATTTACAAAAAGTCTGCAGTATCCAGCCTGTTCATGTACCAATATTTAAATAGACCAAAGAGTGAATAAATACTTCACCCTCTACATAATACCATTACTGTCATATCTTAAAGTCCTACTTTACACGAAAATGTCCAGACTAACAAGGTTCCACTGTACACACAAAGTGTCTAGACTAGCAAGGTTTCACTGTACACACAAAGTGTCTAGACTAACAAGGTTCCACTTTACACACAAAGTGTCTCGACTTACAAGGTTCAACTGTACACAATGTGTCCAGACTAACAAAGTTCCACTGTACACAATGTGTCCAGACAAACAAGGTTCCATGTACACACAAAGTGTCTAGACTAACAAAGTTCCACTTTACACACGAACTGTCTCAACTCACAAGGTTCCACTGTACACACAAAGTGTCTCGACATACAAGGTTCAAATATACACAATGTGTCCAGACTAACAAAGTTCCACTGTACACAATGTGTCCAGACTAACAAGGTTCCATTGAACACACAAAGTGTCTAGACTAACAAAGTTCCACTGTACACACGAACTGTCTCAACTCACAAGGTTTCACTGTACACACAAAATGTCCAGACTAACAAGGTTCCACTGTACACACAAAGTGTCTAGACTAGCAAGGTTTCACTGTATACACAAAGTGTCTAGACTAACAAGGTTCCACTTTACACACAAAGTGTCTCGACTTACAAGGTTCAACTGTACACAATGTGTCCAGACTAACAAAGTTCCATTGTACACAATGTGTCCAGACAAACAAGGTTCCATGTACACACAAAGTGTCTAGACTAACAAAGTTCCACTGTACACACGAACTGTCTAAAATCACAAGGTTCCACTGTACACACAAAGTGTCTCGACTTACAAGGTTCAACTGTACACACAAAGTGGCTAGACTAACAAAGTTCCATTGTACCCAATGTGCCCAGCCAAACAAGGTTCCATGTACACACACAGTGTCTAGACTAACAAAGGTCCACTTTACACACGAACTGTCTCAACTCACAAGGTTTCACT